TGGCTTTTATATATGAGTTTTCTTTCTTTTTTTAATGATCTTTGAAGAAAAGCTTTAAAAATCTAAATTTCAAAGCATCTACTGCAACCATTGCCTTGGATGGCAGCAATTCAACTCAGGTAAGACATGTTAGATGGAACTAATAACCGTAAGACATCAATCAGGAAGAGGTATTAAATATTGTACTGGGTAAAAATAACTAACAATTTGAAAGAACCGAATTGTTTTTGTAACTATGTCCTGAGACTTATAAGCCTGCATATTGCTAATGGAATGGAGGTTATTTCATTCCTGATTTTATTTATATATGTATATTTAACTATAAAATACAAAATTGGCTCTACGTTACCTCTAGAGAGCTCAGAGGTTAATGACGTCTGATTACAGCATGTTGCCTGATACACTCGGTATCCTGTACATGGAAAAGGATTGTGAGGGATTTATGGGATGTATTCTACAATGCTGTGCCTCTCCCAAAGATACAATGAAATGCAAATTCTAGTTAGTCGTAAATGACTTGCCTTTTGCAATTTAACATTACAAGTTAATTTTTACAATTAATGTTTTCTCTACTGTACATTGTATACTTCACTTTGGTTTCTTACCCTTCACTTTGGTGTTCACAGAACAAATGATGCATTTAACAACAACAAAAAAGTACTGTCTTTCATATTCAAAGATAACGCTGTAACTCACTCAAACTCATCCTTGAGAAGTTCTTCTGGTGTTTTAATGGTGTGCGTTTGGAATTTGTGTTGAATGATCTAGGTCACCTGTACCTGTGCATGTTACAGTGGCATCTCTGAGACCACTTGCTGGGTTTAGGGAATCAATCTATAGCTGGGAGGTTTTCCTTTGTGGAAAATAATTTAGAACTAAGCTTTTGGGACCCACAATAAGTACCATGTATTAGGCACTTGAAGACCATATTGGGGTGGGGGGAGGAATACTTCCAACTGAGTTCTACAAAGGGTGTGATCAGAGAATATTCTTTATCCCCATCTGATTCACTCATTGAAGGAAAAGAGGGGAAGGAGTAACAAAGGACAGAATTATTACTAGAGGTTTCCCAGCAATCCCAGCTATCCTCTTTGCCCAATCTACTCCACAAGCACACATAAACAAATCTGCATCATCAAATGTGCAACTGTGAGAATAAGAAAATGAAACTGGTAACAAGACATTGTTTCTCTGACCTCCACAGCCTTCACCCTGAACATCCAAATTTAGTCTTGCTTCAAGGACCTTGAAGTGCCACCTCCTCCATGCCCCACCCCCCACGGCCCCCTTCTATTTCTACCCAGTTTAGTAATTTATTATATACTATCTCGAATGGGAAATAATGTATGTTCACTTGTGTTACCGCCTAGATTGTACACAGGGAACATAGAAGGAATGACCTTAAGTGCTGAACATACACCAGGTATTTAAATAAATAAATGCTAGAAGTAGGCACAGTTTTGCCTAAAGCTGACCTAGAGTGAACAAAACTGTGGTCCTGATCTCCAGAGGGCCACACTTTGACCTAAGTAAAGAGTTGGCTGCTCACTCTGACTAGACGCTCCGAGAGTATAAGAGAACCCAAGGGGATTGCAAGGGTGCATATGGAACCTCAAAGGCAGTCCTCCTGCATATCACAGGATACCCAGGCCCATGTCCATTTAGAAGATACGAGCCTACAATCTGGTACCTGCCAAGCTGTTTTCCCTGATGGGGTTGGGCAAGAAAACTGGGTGGACTTGTGGGGCTTCTTGGGGAGGGGGAAGGGGTGAAGGAGCTCTTCATCTCTCCTGACAAATCAGGAAAAGAAACTTGTCAAGATCTGTGCCTCTGTCTCCTGGGCCTCTTCCCTACAGGGGCCCGCCCTCCGCCCCGTCTCGCAGTTTCCTCCCCTCCCCCACCCGCCCCTCCCCCACCCCACCCCATCTCGCGCCCGCCCCGCCCCCTCCGCCCGCGGGGTTCCAAGGGCGGTTGGCCCGCCACGGCCACGGTCACTCGGCCACTCGGAGCTGCGGGGCGCACGGGGTTGAGAGAGCCG